CCCCCCCCGCCGACCGATGCCCAGCCCGACCCGAGCAGCGATCTGGGCCTTCCGGGTAACTCCCCCCCTGTTTACATACTGGGCATGACGTGCTGTGGTATGGAATAACCCTTTGGCCAGTTTGGGTCAGGTGTCCTGCCTCTGCTTCCTCCTGGCTTCCCCTCCTCTCTGGCAAAGCATGAGACTGAGAAAGTCCTTGGTCAGAGTAAACATTACTTAGCAACAACTAAAAACATCGGTGTTATCAGCATTGTTCCCAGACTGAAAGTCAAAAACACAGCACTGCACCAGCTACTAAGAAGGAGAAAAAATGACTGCTGTAGCTGAACCCAGGACAGAGTCACAGTCCGAAAAAGGTTTCCCATTGGAAGACAGGGCTTGGGTATTGGTTTTTGGTGGTTTTTTTTTGTTGTTGTTGTTTTGTTTGTTTGTTTTGTTTATTCTACAATATAATTTTTTTTATATGGGTTGTACACTATCTTCAGATGAAAACTTTCCTAAGGAACCATATCACCATCACTTACGAATCATGTCCAGCTATATACTTTAAGAGAATTTAAAGACTGAAATCCTGATTCTTCATTGTCTCTCTCTTATTTTAATGTAAAATTGGTCTCTGAAGAATTCTCTTAAAATACAACCTAGTTACTCTTACATCTTTAGTCTACTAGATCTAATTAGTTTAGATAGAACAGATAGATACAAATAAAATAGTTCTCATGTTTAAAATGTCAAGAGTATATAGTTTGAACGTAGGCATTACTGCAATCTGAGATGCTTTAAAATCTCCCTGGTATCTGCAAGGTGCCAGCAAAGGACCCAAAGGAAATCTGCACCCTTGTGGGCCAGCAGCAGGGTATCAGGTGGGGCATCCTATAGCAAATGAGTCTAGCCCAACATGACTAAATGTAGTGATTGGCAGTCTGGGAAAAAAAATCCAGCAGTCACGCTTGTAAACATGTCACCTGACAGGAATGTCGCTAAGAAAGTAAAATCACTCCCAGTCAAAGAATACATAATTGAGATACATTATACATACAAATTTTTCCTTTGTGAACTTATGAAGCTGCATTTTAAAAGCAAACACCCATGGAATAATTCTCACAGAAGTCCGATAGTGTATTTTGCACATAAAAAGAGATTAAGCTAAACTGCCATTGCTAAACTGCCTGCAGTGCCAGTGTATTTTCAACTTAACAGTAATTATTGACAAAAGAAAATAACATGCATTTTTTCTATTACTTACCAAAGAGGATATCTTTGCCTATCTGAAGGAAAGAAAAGAAAACAGCTGTGAAGGCTATAGCTGCTGAAAATCCCAAAATAATGAACACTTTCATCTACAAGAAAGAAGACATAATTGTCAACAAAGTACATACCTTCATCTTCTAATTATAAGACATAAATAATTTTCTGCATATTGTAAATTTTACTTTAAAATTTGATTTGTAACCCCCTGTTTGACTATGTTTTTGAAGTTTAAAATATTAATTTTTAGAAATAACTGTAATTCAATTTCTCTTTTTCCTTCCTTACTTATTACTTTTTCTCCCTTTTAAGAAACTTCTAGCACAAAGAAATACATAGCTTTGTTTTATAATACAATATGTTCTGACAATATTAGCAATACTTTGTCTATATATTACAAATTCAGCAATATTTTACCATTAATTTTAAAATTCTCTGTGCACTAACATGATTTGA